TCTACCCACTGTGATGGCCTGGGGGCTTGGCCAGCAACCCAATTCTATGTGTGCTCATGGAAAGTCCCACCAGTGGACCCATGACCCTCCTTCTGGCCTTACCCCTTGTCCCTGACTGTCAGAGCGGAGGTCAGCTTGACCTGAGATAAAACCCAGTTCCTGCATCCCCAGCGTGGGATGCTGGCTGGAGTGAGGCCCGGGAGGCCAGCCTCCTCTCCACAGGGCTCCATGAGCCACACTTCTTCTTCTCCCTCCCCCTTCCTCCTCCTCTGCCTTCAGATGGTGTTGAGCTGACTCGTGCCAGGCCTGGCCCTATGGACTCTCCCAGGGTCAGAGCCAATGGACTGCACATAGCTCCCTCCTCACAGCCCTGGCCTGGGGCTGAGATGCCAGCTGTCCCCAGTACCCCTCCTTTTCATACCCTAACGCTCTTGGGGAGACCCGCAGAACCCCAAAGCAGGACACCTGGACACAGACTGTGTGCTGGTCTCTAAGTGCAGACCCCAGCTCTGGTCTTCACTAGCAGTGCCTATGTCCTTTGCTTAACTCCCGTGCCTCAGTTTCCTCAGATGTTTAGACAGAGTTAAGAGCCTCCACACGGCGTGACTTTGGGGGTATTCCCATTTTCCAGAGGACTTCTGAAGCTGGACTTGGTTAAAGGGTGCCACACCACTCTGCTAGTGACTGGCTTAGGAGCCAAACCAGGCCGTCCCCCCACGGGGCCTCCCTGTCCTCATTCTTAGCTGGGGAGGGGGTGTTCTCCCTGCAGTCCCTTGCCGGAGACCTCAGGACCAAGGGTGTGACTTGGAGTTCCAGTCTGAGCCCTTCCTTCCCAAGGCTCCTGGGGGTAGCCGAAACCTTTGCCAGCCCCCGCACCCTAGGTCACCTCCACTTGCTGCCTTCGATGTCCCTGGCCATAAATGTTTCTACAGCCTCTTGCTCCTCCCTACGAAGCTGCAGTGTTAATTTGTGAAATCCATGTCAAGGTCCTAGGGACCCACTGTTTATTTTTGTGATCGTGTTGGCTGGGATCACATGGAGGAGGGGGGGAGGGCTGCTTATTTGGTCAGAATAAATGCTAATTAATAAAAGTTATTTATTTGGCTTGGAGCTTGCTACAGCCCCAGGGTCGGGTGCAAACTGACTATTTGAAGCAAAACAAACAGAGAGTCTCTCCACCGCTTGAGAAAGGAACAATCGAAGAGGCTGAGTTTATTTGTCTTAGGAAGAATTTGCAGTTAATTCCCTCCAGACTATTTAGGCCCTTAAATTACACAGAATAAGAAAAACCAAGGGCTGTGTGTGTGTGTGTGTGTGTGTGTGTGTGTGTGTGTGTGGGACGGGTATCTTGATCAGTTGGCCCAGAACAGAGCTTTTAAATGTCTTTGGCCCGCGGTCAGCCAAATAAATGGTACGTGTGAAATAATTTAATGGCAGAAAACTGTGGACCAGTCATTTTTTTCATTGTAATGTAATTTGGGTTTTAAGGGGGAGAGAGCACGCGGCAGGCCTCTGCCATCTGAACACCTCCTGCATCCTCCGTCCAGCCCTCCTCGCGTCTGAACAGCCTGTTCAGATGGAAGCAGGCTCAGCCTTTGTTTTGAATCCTGGGAAAGGCAGAGACTTTACTGAACAAAAGGAAACGCTGGGCACAGCTCTACTGGGGCAGTGCTGACACCGGGGAGGATACTGGGAAAAGGCAGAGGTGGTGCCAATGGCCTGGGGCTCCCAGAGGTCTGATTTCTTTTTGAAATGCTTGAAGCCCAAGCTTGGCGTCCACAGGAATGCGCTTGCCCGTTTCTCAGGAGGCGGGTTAGGAACCAGCGCCCACACAGGCATGGTTCAGAGGCCAAGGCCACACAGGAGGCCCCACTGGGCCAAGGCTGTGGGTTCAAGGTCTGTGTCCCCTGGGAGCTGCTGCCCTCCAGAGCCCTTTCACCCTCTGCCGCACCCCGTCCTTCTACTGTGGACGGAAGGACCGGGGCCTCAGCTGCTGATAGTGACCTGGGGAGGGGGCTGACTGGAGTCCCTCTGTGGACACCAGTGGGTGTCGGGGTGCCGGGGTGGGGTGGAGGGAGCAAATGCCATCCTTTGTGTGAGGGTCTTGGTTCTGAGTCACTAGTTTAACTAGCCCCAAGTGCTGCCTTTCCTCTGGGAGGCCAAGGTTGCAAAATGGTTTTCATTTAAACACCCCCAGTTTCGAATTGCTCACAAACTTCCCGAAAAAACTCTCCTTTTTTGGCTGAAATGCCTCCTGAGTTGGGCGTGTGCCCAAGCAGTGTTGCCTGAAGGAGGTTAGAAGTCAGCTCTGGCATGGCCGGTGTTCTGGAAGCTTCCATCTCTGCTTTTTGGCTCTCCATCACCCCCCAGCCTAGTTTTCAGCACCTGGCCCTAGTTGTCTGGGTTTGGGGTTTCTCCCCCATGGATGGAGGGGTTTTCCAGGCACCAGACATCTCATCCATCTGCCCCTCTTCTTGGAGGACGGAGTGAGGAATGACAAGGGAGGCTGGTCCAGGTGACAAGGCCAGCTTGCATGGGTCACTCAAGTCCCCTCCCCACTGTCTTCCCCACCCCCACATTTGTCTCCATGCCCGCAAGTATTTCTCAAAGGGGAACACACAGAATTGCACGAACTCCTCGCCATCCTGCTTAGCCAGGGTTCCCGTGGAGCAGGTAATTCCTTGATGTGGAGACCTGTCCTGTGTATTGGGGGACAGTTAGCACACCATTAATCCCAGTAGCACCCCCTTTCCAGCCCTGGTCATTAAAAATGTCCCCAAGGTTGGATATGTGACTCGGGGACAGTGCGTGCCCAGCACGTGCGAAGCCCTGGATTCACCCTGTGTGCCTGGCCTGGTCCAGAAGCTTCAGGCGGTAACTGGATAAAAACCAGCACATTTTTTTGGCAGTGCTAGGATTTGAACTCAGGGCCTTGTGCTCTGCCACTTGAACCACGACCCCAGCCCCTAGCCAGCACTTTTTAAATGGGCACAAGATTTTTTTTTTTTTTCCTGTGCTGCTGGGGATAGAAGCCAGGGCTTTGTGCACGCCAGGCAAGCCCTCTGCCATTGAGCCTCGCTCTCAGGCCCCCGATGGCCACCTCTGATTGTCAGGACCGAGAGAAATGTGTGACTGGGGAAATAATGAAAGGTGTTGACTAAAACCCAGAAGGGTGACAGGCTCTGTGGTGGAATGGTGGGGAAACAGGCCTCTCACATACCACTGCTGGGAGCATGAAGTAGGATAAACCCAAGAGGATCCAACCACATTCAGCATTTATTCATCGGCCCAAAAATACCACTTGCAGGAATCTGCCCCAAATAGGCACCGGCAAAAATAGAAAATCCGTTTGCACAGTTTCGAAAGATTGGAAACATGCCAAGCGCTTATCACTACAATCCTGGTTGAATGACTCACAGCACAGTCACACGTGGAGCATTATACAGCTGGGAAAAGGAGCGGCTGTTTCTATGCAGTGTGTGAAGGTGCCCAGGGTGCATTATTAAGTGTGTGTGAGGGTTAATGAATAGGGATGTCATGTGTTCTTTTGATAGAAAAGGAAGAGAAAATATTACACACATTTTATTATACTTGCAATATTGGCATTTCAGAAAGAGAGAGACAGAAGTTAGTTAGGTTTATTGGACCCAGATGGAAAGTACCAGAATGGTATGAAATAAAAAAATATACCCAGCGTGTGCAGCATGACCTCATGCTGGTTGTTTTTTTAATTTATACTTGGGATCTTGTACACGGTGGGGTGTGGATTTGGGGAAGGCGAAGCCCTCTGCTGAATGTGTCACTGTGGAAGCAGTGATATTACATTGCTATTAAGACATACATTTTTAATAAGAAAATCAGAGACACGAGGAAGTGCCTGCCTGGGTGGCACTGGGTCCAAGTGCTGGGTGAGCAAGCAGAGGGAAGGAGAGTCCCATGGGGACTCAGGAATTAGGGAAGACTTCCTGGAAGAGGAGGCAACGAGCTGAGTCATGAGGGACAAACACATCTGAGGCTTTTCCCCTGGATAAATCTCAATATGGAAACTAGTTGAACAACCTCACCTCGTCCTCCAAGGGACATCACCCAGGTGGCGATGGCCACTGGGAAGTGCTGGTACCATACCTTCCCTGCAGCTCTGGGACTTCGCTCATTCTGTGTCCCTGGGCCTCCTGTGCCTGCCTGGGACACCTTCCCTCCCTGACTGACCGGCTCACGGTGCCCCTCAAACACAGCTCAAGCCTAGGCTCGCAGAGGGGCCAATGGCCGGTTCCTTCTCCCAGAGCAGAGCTGGCACCCCCAGCACTGATGAGTCCTCTGACTCCCCGGCCCCCAGCAGGGCCCTGGCACAGTCCTGGGAGCACCTGTGGCCTGTGGGCACTAAGGAGCCTGGGCGCTGACCGCCCAGCTGCCCTGCTGCTCTGGGGGATTTTTTTTTTTTTGGGGGCAGTATTGGGGTTTGAACTCAGGGCCTCACCCTTGCTAGGCAGGCACTCCACCACTTGAGCCACTCCTCCAGCACTGTTTCTGTGAAGGGTTTTTCGAGATGGGGTCTCAAGAACTATTTGCCCAGGCTGGCTTCACACTCCATCCTCCTGATCCCCTCTGCCTCCTGAGCAGCTGGGATTACAGGCGTGAGCCACCAGAACACGGAGGATGGAGTCTTATCATAACTCAGTAACAGGTGCTGGGAACACTCCTGTGTCCCCTAGGTCCTTGACGGAGCCACTCCTGTGCCCCGGGCTCTAGCTGTGGCCCCCAGATCACTTTTCTCAGACGATGGGCTCACAGTTCTGTCCCACAGGCCTGCCCCTGGCCTGCAGCATGGGTGGCTACACCTTGAGGGGCGAATGAATGACCGTCCTGGCTCTCGCTCAGTCTGCAGAGGGAGACACAGGACAGCCGCAGTGCAAAACGCTGAGTGAAGGGCAATCCTGCAGCTGTCCCTGGACACTGCTGCCCCCGGGGACACTGCGGGCTGACCCCCTGCCTCTCCGCAGGTGAGTGTCCCAGTCCCGGCCGCGGCAGCGCCGCCAAGCGGAAGAAGAAGCAGCGGCGGAACCGCACCACGTTCAACAGCAGCCAGCTGCAGGCGCTGGAGCGCGTGTTCGAGCGCACGCACTACCCCGACGCCTTCGTGCGCGAGGAGCTGGCCCGGCGCGTCAACCTCAGCGAGGCGCGCGTCCAGGTCAGCCCGTGGGGCCCACGCCATTCACCCAGGCTGATGCACTTGACACGGGCATCGCAGGCCAGGAGGGCTGGAGTTCAAATCTGAGCCTTGCCACAAAACTAGCTGTGTGACCTGAATGGAGCAGGTTACCCTTTCTGTGCTCAGATTCCTCCCGGCCAAATGAATACACGGGTCTATGTTGCCGGGGCCCATTACCATGCAGGGGGTGAATGACTTTGCAAAGTGCTCAGAACAGAGCCTGGCGTGGAGGATTTTAACGTTTTAAGCACTTGTTCTTTGAATGCCAGCTCTGAACTGAGTTTCCAGCACCTCTCACACCAGCCTGGCTGGCGTCCATCTGTGGCTGAGGCCTCCCTCCCTCCCTTCCTCCCTTCCTCCCTCCTTCCCTCTCTTCTTCCTTCACCACTTCTCCAACCCATGCTTCCCTAGCAGCAGGCACCAGTTTGGGTACTGGGGTTTGAACTCAGGGCCTGTCCCTTGCTAAGCAGGTGCTCTGTCGCTTCAGCCACTCCACCAGCCCTTTTTGCCTTAGATATTTTTCGAACAGCATGTCAGGTTTATGCCTGGCCTGCATAGCTGGGATGACAGGTGCCCCCCATGGCATGGTTGAGATGGAGTCTTACGAACTTTTTGCCCAGGCTGGCCTCACCCCCATCCTCTCTACCTCCACCTCCTGACTAGGTAGGATTACAGGTAGGCACCACCACACCATTTCACAGAGGAGAAGCTGAGCTGAGGGTCAAACAGTGTGGCTGCCAGCCCCGGGTGGGTGCAGGGCAGGCACACACCCAAGTGTGGGTTTCCTGCAGCCCACTGGACCCTGTTGACCATACCTGCTGCCCCAGGTCTGGTTCCAGAACCGCCGTGCCAAGTTCCGCAGGAACGAGCGTGCCATGCTGGCCAACCGCTCTGCCTCGCTGCTCAAGTCCTACAGCCAGGAGGCCGCCATCGAGCAGCCCGTGGCTCCCCGGCCTACCACCCTGAGTCCAGACTATCTCTCCTGGCCATCGTCGTCCCCCTACAGGTGAGAGCAGGGACCCCTTTGGATTGGAAGGGGCAGCTGGGATCCCCTGGGTGTTTGGACTCCTCTGGGGTGCTAATTAGAGCTTGGATGGTGTCCAAGTGTCCTTGGACCAGGGACCCACCAAGCAGCGTGTGGGTGAGTGTGCCTGCCTGTGAGTGTGTGCACGAGCATGGTCTGCACGCGTGGGTGTGTGGAGAGGAACGCTGAGCTGGAACCCAGAAGGACGTTGTCCAGACTGGGGCCCAGAGCTACTTCTGCCTGAGGTGGCCAGGCAGAAAGGAGGCGGCCGGCGAGCTGGGACACGTCTCCTCCAGGGGCTGTCCCTCCTCAGTCTGTGTACATGGCTGTGCTGCAGGGGGCAGAGATGGTGGGTGGGCTTCTGTGGCCTCCGTCCTCCCAGCTCTCCTGGCTGCCCTCCCTGCCCTCAACCTGGGCAGGAGAAGTGCCAAATGTGCACTTTAAACCAGTGTGTGTTCGTCCCTCCTCCATCCTGGGGACATGGGATCCAGGCCCTGCTCTCAGAGGATCTTCTGAGCACTTCTGACTTCATGTCCTGCAGCCCCGCTCAGCCTCACCTAGGCTGCAGAGGGGAGCCAGGACAGCCAGAGGCCACCAGCCATACCAATGTGTCCTTGTTTTTCCTGTTGCCTCCAGCTCTGTGCCACCCTACAGCCCTGGAGGCTCAGGCCCTGCCACCCCAGGGGTCAACATGGCCAACAGTATCGCCAGCCTGCGTCTCAAGGCCAAGGAGTTCAGCCTCCACCACAGCCAGGTGCCCACAGTGAACTGACGGCCAGCGCAGTGGGACTGGCCACCTCCCACTGTGACAACAGCAGAAAAGGGGGCAGATGTACAGGAAGTGGCCTCCTCCTGTCCCTGTCCCCAGACAGGCTGGGCGGGGTCTCCCAGCCCCTCTCTCCAGCCCGGACTCCTGAGCCCGAGAGGCCAACGGGGCACCTGGTGTGCAGCTCAGCACCTCTGTCCTCGTGATCGAGACTGCTGCCTGTGACCCCTGGAGGGGCTGGGCCAGGCGGTGGTTCAGGAGCCCACCAAGGACCTTGCTCACTTTGTGTATTAAAGCCAAAGAGCTTTTGTCTCAAAGAAATAAAACCATTGTTTTTAAATTCCCACAGGTTGCAGGAGGGTGGGGAAACAAGCCAAACATCCTAACTGCCAAGATGGAACCGGGACCCCATGGGGTGGGACAGCCTTCTGGAGCCTCCTGGGCCCTGGGCCTGGCTTAAACCAGCAGCCTGGACAAGGCCTGCCACCCTCCCACTTGCACAGGTCTTCAGGTGTCACCCCTCAGGGACCAGGGTGGGAAGCAGGCAGGAGATAGGAACCTGCTCTGGGCTTCGTCTCCTCCATCCTGTGGGGACTGGATGGGTGACCATGGCTTCAAGGACTGGCCAGAGAGAGGTGGGGCAGGGTCTGGAACGCAACCCTGGTTGCTGGGCACAGAGCATGGGATCCCTGGGCATCTGACTGTGGAGGGACAGAGGCTCAGCCTCAAGGTAGCAGTCAGGCTCACAGCACAACCAAGTGGTTCCCGACAGCTGAGGCGGCCAGAAGGCCTTCTCCAAAGTCCCCCCACAGGACCCATTCACAGACAAATGGGATGACAGAGGACACGCGCCACAGACAGCGCCACCACTTGGGAGGGTCTGGAGAACTGCGGGGTGAGGAGAGGGCACACGGCCACCTGGTGATGGGTTGAACCCACCAGGGAAGCTGCAGGCTGAAGGGAGCCCGGTCCAGCCCAGGAAAGACAGGACAGCTCCAAGGGCCCAGAGATGATCTGGCCCTGAGCTGCAGCTCAGGCCCCCAGCCCGTGGAGTGGTGGGTGGCTCCTCCATCATCCCCAGGGACTCAACAAGATGGGCGACTTTCACACAGCCTGCCATGTTGCAAAGTGTCACAGTGTCCCCGAAGTGCCAGCTGCATGGATAGCCTTCCATGAGGAATGTCCCATTTTTATTTAGAAGCTATTTGGGCTACACCTAGGAGTAAGGTGAGGACCGCCCTGGCCCCTCTGCCCCCCAGTATGTCCCTGTGTCCCCCCTGTACTTCACCTGGAGTCCCAGCTTGGGGACTTCATTCTTGTGGGTTCACCCCTCATATGGGCACGTGCCTGGGGAGGGTGACCACCAGGGATCTGACAGCAGGAGCATGTGGACACCACGGGGGTGAGGCTGATGTCTTGAGCTGGCTCGGGCCCACCTGCCCGTGAGGACCAGGCCAGAGCACAGATAGGCCTATATCCTGGGCCAGGGCATGGGGCCTCAGAGCTGTGTCGCCTTGCTCTGTTTGTCCTCTGCCTTGGTAGGGGCTTCCTGGGCCTCCACTTGCTATTTCTTTGAAGAATTGTGCATACGACACACCTGCCATGTGCTCCCCAACCCTGGGGAGAGAGCAGAGAACAGGTATAGGTCCCTGGTCCCTGGCCACACCATCTTGTGGGAAGCAAAATTCTTACTACATGAGAAATTGAACCAAAATTCTAAGACTATGAGGGGGTGGCATAGGGGCCCAGGAAGCACAGAGGGGTCCTAGATCTAGACTAAGGCACCTGGGCTGGCTTCTGGAGGGGGTATGCCTGGAAGGATAGGGCTCATCAGTTAAAGAGGGAAGGGTGACAGTTTTAGCATGTGCAAAGGTCCTGGGGCAGGCCAGAAGCATCTCTGGGCTGCTGGGAGCATTTTCTGGACAGAGTCTCCTGGTGCCAGAGGCTGGCAGAGAGAAATAGGAGCTGGCTCAAGCAAGCCTATCCTTGGGAAGAAATGGAGCGGGCTGCTGGAAGGACATGCACCCTAGCCTACTTGTGGAGAAGGGATTGTGGGCGAAGAGTGGAGGCAGTAGCCAGGTATGGTGACCCACTCCTATAAGGAGGGCTGAGGCAGGAGGACAATGAGTTCAACACCAGCAGAGTAAGGCCCTGGCTCAAAAGCCAAAAAAAATTGGAGGCACAGAAGTCCCTACCAGGCCAGAGCAGTGTCCAGAGAGAGACAGCAGCCTCTCTCTGGACCAGATGGAGGAAGGAAGGGCAGGAGCTAGTGACTACAAGGTGGACCAAGGGAGAGAGGCAGGCCTGGATATACAGGAGTGCCCAAGAGGAAGAGACCTTACCCAGGCAAGAGCTGAGAGCCATCCCGGCCTGAGCAGGGCCCCCTTGGAGGATTGGCACCAGTGACAGGTCCAGGCCCAGAGTGTCATCCTCACGGGCAGCCTGGAGCAACAGTCTCTGTTGCCCCTAATCTGGGAATGAGTGAGGGGACAGCTCCCACCCCAGACCCATCATGTCCCTGTACTTCTCAACCCAAAAGAAGATGCCATGTGCTGGGCGCTGGTGGCTCACACCTGTAATCCCAGCTACTTAGGAAGAGAGATCGGGAGGATCACAGTTCGAAGCCGGCCCAGGCAAACAGTTCTCGAGACCCTATCTCGAAAAAACCCTTCACCAAAACAAGCTGGCGAGTGGCTCAAGGTGGAGGCCCTAAGTTCAAGCCCCAGTACCGAAAATAAGAACGTGACATGAAGAACTGAAGGTGGGGTTCTCCTGCTGCAGAGACGGGGTCCTACTGGGTAGGGGCCTAGAAGGTGTGTCCTAGGAAACATCAGCTTTGGAAAATGCCGGGGGCCCTGTTCCCACGGAGGCACTGGCCCAGCCATCAGACTGCAAGGATGTCAGTGTCACTTCCTCCCAGCCCTGTAGAGAAAATAAACCCTCTTAATTGTTTACACATGCTGCTCCCAGAAACTGAGAGAGAGGCCGAGCCGCCCTCCCCGTAAAACAGAAAAGGTTCAAACACCGTTGCTGGTATAGTAGGCCTGGCCGCAAGGTTGCCTGGGCAGCTTCCTGGGTACCCTTCCCAGGGTGTCATTTTTCTGTAAGGTCAAGGTATTCGAGGCCCCAGCCCAGGCCTGGGGAACCTGAACGCCTCTCAGCCAGCCTATGTCTGTTTGGCCAAGGGAGCCTGGGAGAGGGCACTGAGTGTCTGTTTTTATTTCCCCTAACAAACAAAGGAAAGAGACAGAAAGACCAAAACCAGAGAAACAAAAGACCAGAGTTTGTGATTCTGTGACTTCCTGGGACTCAGTTTCCTTCTCTGTGGGCACAGGGTGGCTGACCCTAAATGGACGGGGTGAGGGACTGAGCTAGAGGAAGTGAAAGTGCTCTCTGCCCTTGGGTGGAATGGCACTTTTCCCGTCCAGAGAGCTCTGCGCACCTGGCTCAGGGGCTCCTCCCCCTGTCCCTTGGTCCCTGAGCTAGGGGTAAACCAAAACCAAAATGATGCCTCGGGATCCTGCACTTCCCCTGCCCGCCCCTGGAAGGCGCTGCAGAGTCACCGTGGCACCTGCGATGGGTTCCCTGGGACACCACAGACCACCCAGTGTCCCTTTCTCCCTGTAGATCTCAGGGGCTGGCAGCAAACCCCTGACCCAGCCTCCTCTCAGAAGACAAAGAAACAAGCAAACCCCAAGCTACCAGCAGGGGTCACCGCACAGCATTTGGAAAACGTCCCATCAGTCATGAAAATGTCCACCAGGCTCTTGCCAAGTCATTCTATCTGGAAGGACGCTTTGAGAAATAACCCAGAAGTAACCCCAAAGGGGAAAAGCAGCGTGCACAGGGATGTCTGTCATGTGTTTTATACATGCAACATGAAAAACCTGTGAAGACACAAGCCAAAATATAAGTAGCATAAGTTACATGGTGGCTCACCCAAGCCTCTCCATATTTTTGTAATAAATTTATAAAAAAAGAAAAAAAGAAAGAAAGAAAAAAAACAGCCCAAGCCAGGCGCTGGTGTCTCACACCTGTAATCCAAGCTACTTTGGAGGCTGGGATCACAAGGATCGAAGTTCAAGCCAGCCCCAGGCAAACAGTTTTCAAGACCCCATCTCTAAAAATAACCAGAACAAAATGCTCAAGCAGTAGGAGGCCTGCTTTGCAAGTGTGAAGAACTGAGTTCAAACCCCCGTCCCACCAAAAAAAAAGAAAATTGCTTTTGCTGAAAAGCACCAACTTCTTACTTGTCCCAGGAACTAACTAAAAGCAGGAGAAAAACTTGGTATCCTGGCCTCCAATTTGTGTCTGTGTCCTTTGCTCTGAGCCATTTTCCCCTCCAGTCACTTTGCAGCCATCTTGGAATCTAGGAAGGACAGGACTGATGAACAAACATCCTGTAACAGGAAATAGAGTTACATTAAGTCAACGCAGAAGAAAAGCCTGGCATCCCTGCCTCCATTTTGTATGTCTCCTTTACTCTGAGTCTTTTTCTCTCCTGCAGTCACCTTGGGTTCCAGGAAGGATGATAACATCTTTACGACCAGGGATGGGAAATTCCCCCAAGGAAAGGAGCAGAGCCTGGCAGGACAGAGCACCCCCACCTAATTACCTATGACAGTGAGGCCGCACCCTGGAGCAGGAGCAATCATCTCATGGGGACCAGATTGCATTCCTCAAGTGATGACAGCAGTGACAACTTCTCCCCTCCTGGACAGGACTGAGACAAGGACCAGCCAGGCCACACTGTGCCCAGGAGGGCTTGGTTAAGCACCTCTCTCCCTGCTCTAAGTCTTCCACTGTTTAAACGTAAAGCTCACGCCTGTCCCCAGAGCCATGTGCCTCTTCCGGGACAGGGGGCTGTGTGATGACCTCCTTCCTCTGCCCTGCACCACTGCTTGGCTCTGTTTGGCCTATTGGGACAAGTGGCCAGATCTGACACCTCAGTCCTTCTGCCCACGCTCACTCCTGTGCCCTCCCCTGCCGTCCCCCCACCCCACCCCCCAGACTCAGCAGCATGGCTCCCTCAATCCCCCACACTCCAGGGAATTCCCACTCCAAAAAGACCACAACACTGCAGCGACTT